AGCAATGTCACTGGCTTTAACGATGCAGTAAGTGCAACTGCAAGCCACATGATGCACTTATGATGAAAACAATGAAAATGTGAACTGGGGAAAAAAAAAAACTAGAAAGCTTTCCCAGATACAACTTTTTCCAGTTTAGCAGCTGAAGAAAAATTATTTCTCTCTTGAGGTAAAATATCTTAATTCTACCTGTGTTCTCACCCTAAAGAAACACTTCATAGAAAGTGCACATTGTTTGCACTAAAAAAAGAAAAAGAAAAGAAAAGCTCAGAAAAGCCCTAAAACTATAGCAATAATTTAGGATACAATCCACTACCACCATTTTTTCCATTAAATATCATCAACACATGAAAGATTCAACAAGAAGTTCTCTCGATATGTAAACATAGAGAATGTCTTCTTTTTGGAACAAAGCATAATCTGTTAATAATTTTCTTTTCCTAGCAGCAACTCTCTGCCCTCACTCTCTACTAGCCTTCTTACTCCATTTGTCTAGCAACGTAAACTTTCTCTGCTCCTTAGATATCTTCATTTGACAACGCAGCACTGTTAACCTTGTAGTTTTAATTCACGTTACTACCCAAGAACTATGATACACCATGACAGATATTTTGCATAAAAGTGAACTATCAGAGGTTCAAAAGCACACAGAGGTATAACTATTTAAGCTGAACCATCTTCCTTACATTTAATTGAAGAACCTGCTGACAGAAACATTATGATGTCATAATGCTAATTGTACTAAGGTAGGGATCACATGGGTATAACACATATTCTCATGCTGAATATTCTAGGTTGAATCCGCAGCAACTTCAATATAAAAAATCAAGTAGAAAGAGATTGGGAAGGTCCCATTCACAGTAAACAGCGGTGTTGTTCAGATGACATAGCAGCCCATCATGAGTTAATTAACCTACCGGCCACCATTAAGAATATGGAAACCTCAACTGGGGGTTATTAGGGATTATTTGAGCTGAGCAACCCTCACATAACCCAAAATCTCTTATAAATTTATACAAAGAAATAGCTTGTAGGAGGCATCACAAGTGTATAGGAAAAGGATTTTGTGTTGTAAGCCGCCCCGAGGCTTCGGCAAGGGGCGGCATAGAAATGTAATAATAATAATAATAATAATAATAATAATAATTTGATTTAATCAAAATTAAACTTTCTGGTCTTGCTACAAAACACTATGTATGGTGCAAAACCAAAAGTGTTCATTGTCCTGAGAACATAACCTCCTCATCATCATTTATAGTCGTATACCACCCAATATGTGAAGGCAAAAGGAGAAGAGAACGGCAGAAGATGAGATGGCTAGTCGGAGTCACTGGGGCAGTGGGTGTGGGCTTGGGTGGACTCCGAGGGATGGTGGAGGACAGAAAAGCCTGAAGGAATGTTGTCCATGGGGTCATGATGGGGGTTGGCCATGACTTTGGTTCTAAACAAACAGCAATATGTGAAACTCTCCAAAATGAGGCATCAGGGTAGCAGCATAATATTGCGGGGATATTTTTCCTCAGCAGGGATTGGGAACCAGGTTGGGAATGGGGGCAAAACAAATGGAGGCAAATACAGAGCAGTTCTAGAGGGAATCCTGTTTCAATCTGCAAGGGACCTGGGACTGGGGTATCATTCTACAGAATTATGATCCATAGCAAAAGTCTCACTGGAGAGGCTCAAAAGCAAGAAACTGAATGTCTGGAAATGGCCCAGTCAAAGCACAGACCTCAGAGTGACTGAGAAACTGCGGCTAGACTTGAAAGTAGCTATTCACCAAGAGTTCTCATCCAATCTGACAGAGCTAGAATGAGCAAACAATGCAAGATCTAGATGCGCAATTTTTCCATTCTTCTTTGTACTGTAATGCAAACCTATCTTCAAAAATCACTTGAAATACAAAACAAGGTCGCTGCTGCTTAGAGGAAAAGGAAAATGCTCCTTTGCATGCATAAATCCACAGATCTGGATTGGAACTATAATATGAGATCCTTGGTTGTTGTAGCATGCACTAGTTGATGCATTTAGCAATGGCTGGAGGTAATTTTCGCCAGTAAAATGGTTCTGTTTTCTAAGTGCATCCGATTTCCATCTCTGCAGGATGTACCATTTCTGAATCAGCTTTCTGTATCTCAGCCCACCATCTCTTTCAATGTTTTCCAAAGATGAACTAATCACTTGACACTTAGCTAACTGGAGTTCTACCAGAAAGTAACAGCAGCTTCTCTCTGCTTTAACACAGTAATGGATGATAACTATCTCAGGGAAAATCTAATTTACAAAACTGTGATAAGTATACAAATCAAATGAATTATCTGGTGAGATTCAAAACACACAGACATATTTCAACCTCTTATAAATACAAGGTGCAAACATCAAATGTCTTTGTGTTCAGGCTACTAATAAGTTCCCATTATCATTGTCTGTCTTTCCTCCTCATCATTCTCTTCTGCTGTCTATTCCTGAGTTGAAATTAAGATTGTAAGTTTCTTGGGGCAAGAAGCTTCCCCCTCACTTCTGTTACTTTATAAAGTACCGAAGTACAATTTATGCTGATAGCTTATTATTATTATTACTGTCATTATTATTGCTTCTACTCATGTCAATGAGTAGAAGCAATGAATGTCAATGAAATAATGAAATAAATTTCATGAATGTCAATGAAATAAAAGAAATCCTATCACAATTACCTCATAATTTTTATTACATCATTCCAGCCATTCCAAGTGGAACTTGGGAGCCCATATTGACAATAAAATGTTGTATTTATGTTGTAAAAGTTTATAAAGATTATTTTCCAGGGTTTCAGATAGGCATTTTTCCCAGGTCCACCAGAGATGCCAGGAACTTAACCTGGAACCTTCTACATACAAAGCACTTGCTCTCATAGCAAATTATAATCTTTCCATAGGTATATTTCAGGTTTAGACATGAGATGTTTTACAAGAACGTCTATAGATCTAGTGTGTGGATACAGCAAACTCGCCGAAGCAGCATCTATAACACTGGCCAGCAGATAGGGATGGGCCAATCAAGGTGTTCTTACACTATGATGCTCAACAAGCAGGCAGAATTTTGCTGCTGCATAATGTGTATGAAAGCCCTTAAACTGAGATGCTCACACAACCAAAATTATCACATGACAACTGCAAGTGTCACATGAAACTGTAATCACCTGGAGTGTCATCCTTAAGTGGTCAGTATATTGTCCATGGGAACCCCATCACCATCATCTTATGCTAATTAGCTATCTGTGTATCTAATTATAGTATATTCAGTCAGTTCCCATTGTATGTTTTTATTTTAGAAACTGAAATACACAAAAATCATGCATTCTAGGTTATTCAGGTATTGCTAATGTTTACTACCTGCCCAAAGCAATTCCATTTTGGTTAAGAGTCTGATTTGTATTTGTATTTGTACCAGGCTTATGATCTGAACCAATGATCTATACTTTTCTAAATAAACGGCGCACTCTTGTCACTTGTCAACTTTCTATGTTTCCATTGTAGCCTTTCAGTGTTATAGAAATCCTCATGAACACAACAGGATGTCATGGGTACCAATTTACAACCATATTTACTAGCTATCCTTCACCTGAAACTCTTCAAATATTTTTTTAAGGTCTACACAGTTTAATTATTTATTTAAGCTGCTTCTGTACAAATTGGTATCCCGAAATCTCCAAACAATCTACACAGAAACACATATAAAACAATATAAAAACCAACCTGAAACAGTATAAAGCAATACATACCATTAAATCATTACAATAAAAGCAATAAAACAGAGCTGTCTCTCCCTCCCTTCCTCTCACACACAATCCCTGAGAAAAGACAAAGTTAAGCAGAAACTGCTTTCAACTTGTTACCCAATATCTATTTTCAAACTTTATTATGAAATCTGTGTTTCTTTTTCCATTCACTAGAAACAAGTTCATGAAGTTACTTTATCTCATGGCCAATGCCTAAAGAATGGGTATCCATGCTTGGCTGTTGCTGTTTGGAAAGGCAATTATTATTTTATATTTCTTATTCCCTGGAAAATTGGACACCCTGTCTATCCCACTCCTTTAATCTACTTTCGGGTGAACAAAGTAATAGCTTCACCTCTCCAGTCTCTCCAAATTCTCCACAGGTAAGTTCTGAATACAGGGAAGAATGTGAAATCAGTGAAGTCAGTCTTTCTGTTTCCAAAGTCAAACATTTCCCCTTTTTTATCCTCTCAGCAGACAAGCCTATGATGAAATACCCACATTTCCATTTGCATCCCCAAAAATCATTTCAAGTCAAAGCCACCATCTCTTACATAAACAGAAAGGTCAGTGAATAATACGAATACATGCCAGGGTATCCTAGAGCTAAGCCCTGAAGCTGTTCATCAACTGTAGGAAAGGCCCAATAAATTAAACAATATCCCTCCTATTCAAGACAGAAATATTTCATGAACAAAACAATTAAACATCTGCCATATACATGTGTGAGTGCGTGTGCACACAAACACTTTCACAACATAATCAGGCAAACTGTCACCACAAAAAGCATCCAAGTCAAAACAGCTTAGCCCAGAATCCAAAAATTCAGGACATATATACTCTTTAGATTTAAAACAGCTTAACTATCATTAACTATCTTCTGTGGGGAGTTTGGGAATTGCCATTGAAGAAAAAGGGGGCAAGAAATTTCTAAGAGAATTCTCAACACTCCAGTCAGTTCTCGGGACTCTTTTGGGGATGAAGAATAATTAAAATTGATATGAATGTATAGTGTAGGGAGACCTATATCCTCTCCAAGACACAATCCTGATAAAACAGGTTATAATCAAAATCATGAATAATCTAAGGCTGCAACAACCTGTAATAAGAACGTATTTGGTTAAAAATAAAAGATGTCCATGTTTTTTTCCATACCTCTCAACTGTCTGTGCTGACTTCTGAACAAGTAGTAGTAAAAGTATAACACAGTATGATGATGAAGTAGTAAGCAAAAGTTAGTACTTACCAGATTGGAATTGGTAGCATTGGAATCATCTTCTGGAAAGGGGATATAGATAGCTAAGGCCACACAATTGGCAAAAATAGTGAGTAAAATAATAATTTCAAATGGTCTGAGGAATGGAGTTAAGGAAGGTAGATTTTTTTAATCACATAGTGCAATTACATTGAAAGTATGGGGGAAGGATTTAAAGGAATTCTGTTTAAAGAAGACATTCCTAATCCCTTGTATTTTGAAAAGAAACATATGCCTTTTAAAGTGCTTTTCTATCCTCCCAGCCAAGTTTCTTCCTAATATGTCAAAAGCACGGTAGGCCAGTCGCGTGCCAGAGTAAACATAGATTACTTAAAAAAGATTTTTTTCTTTATTTAGATTTAATTTTAAGTTTACTTTCCCCACTTGGACTGTGCTGTTATTTTATAGACAGACCACCTCACACTAGTTCTTTCTTTTTCTTGTTGCATTTCCAGTACAGTTTCTAATGGCTGTGATTTACGGAAAAAAAACCCCATCCCATCATTCTACACAATACTTCAGCATGTTTCAACCCTCTTTTCTCACTTTTAAAAAGGAATTTAAGAAAGGAATATTCAAAGTACTAGCTTTAGCAAGTTATAGAAGGGTTCATTTTTAAGATATCATTCCTAAATCCAGAAGTAATATGGATACACACACAGAGGGATGTTTAAAGTAAAATATGTTAAAATATGTGGTGGTTTATTTTGTTTCAACCCATCCAATACTGGAAATATTCCAAGCAGAAGTCCCTATTTTAAAATATACAGGGTGGACTAAAAGGTAGGTATACAGTACTGATTAGGTCATATTAAGTCTCTTAGGTGCTCGAAATGTCATCCATCAATGTTGCAACATTCCTGGAACCTGTCGCTGACACTGTGACACGAATTCCAGTTAGCACCAATGGCAATAAATTCTTGCGTGATGAACCCCCTCCATTCATGCAGCCTACGTTATGTCACACAGTTCTCAAAATGTGCAGTCAGGATTCCCTAAACAGCAGCATATTCCCTATGGCTAGTTTTGGCATCTTGTTCAGGTTAAGGAAATAATGCTCATGGGTGTACTTTTCTGTCTGCTATAATATTAGTTCAACTTCTTATTATCATCACACTCTTGCTGAGCTGATAGACAATACTGAGGTTCAGTAAAGTTGCATCCAGATTTTTTCTGGGTCATTCCCTTCCCATTGTTTCCTCTATCAAGCAAATGCAGGATTTATAGAAGAGGTTTAGGTATGATTTCATTACTATAGTATAGACATAGCATTGTAAATTTCTAGAATAAAATAATGGCATATATAAAATACAGCATGATAGACCCTCGAAATGCAACTACATGGAGGCAGCTTCATGTAGAAAAGCATTAGGATGAAACAGCTCCTCGCATTGTTGGACCTCTTAATCATACCAATACAAATTGCAAGCAAGCAAATAGTGCTGTGTTCACATAGAAAATGGAACCATGTAGTGAACCTGTAGCCAAAACATCTGAACCTTTTCCATACAGAGATGCCTAGATGGGGTTGTGTTTCCTTGTCAGACATTACATGCAGGGACTGAGCTTTAGAAAGATACACTATAGTTTAATATAGGTAATAATTGTCTTGTTGGCCACAGAAAAAAGAAATATAAACTAAGTTTCTGCTTGTGCATGATTATGCAAGTTTTAATTTCTGCAGTATAGTTCATGATGAGATTGAAATATGGAAAAGTAGGTCATTCCCAACTATAGAGAGAACAATTAACATCCAGTTACAGATGTACATATTGTCCCAGTTACTTCAATCAGCTAGTGCCCTATTCACAATTTTATGTTGACCTGTATAAGCTATTGTAATGAATCAAGAATTCAAAATATCTGTTCAACCCATTGTCCTTTTTATTAAAGTAGGTAAGTTTTTAATCTCTCACAGGAACAACTTTTAAAGGGGTAATGTAGGCTTTCTTTCAGTAAACAATCTGGAAGGCAAGATAATGAATTGACAAGCTAGCAGAAATTATTACCTACAGCTGACACAGTTCATTATAACATGTGTAAAACATAACAGTTCTCAAAACATTAACAACTATTTATGAAGTGTGTGTGGTGTCAAATTGGTTGAGTAGCCCTGGTTCTACATACCCATATACTCAGTGTACTAGGGAGAAATAGCTGGAGAGAGCTTATAAATTTCCCAAACTCATCTGGTTAGTCACTATGGGAAAGAGAAAGATCAACTTGATGGGCCTTTGATCCAAACTATTGTGCCTTTATGTTCAGATCTTCTTCAGAACACATCAGGTAATAAGTAACTGTGGTTATCATGTAGCAACAAGTTTCCTGACTTTTGTTTAAGTAGAAAACTTGTGAGTGTGCTATAGAATCTCCACAATGTCATCTTTGCTCATAAGGTGGGATTTTTCAAAATGTGTACCTTAATCAGAACTAATTTTCCTGCCAGAATTTTGAATGATGTCCCAAGAAACCATAAGAACAGTCTGTTGTAGATTATAGGGCCATATAGTCCAACATACTATTTCCAACAGTATGGCTTGCTATATATTTGCTAGACAGAGCAGCTTACATGTGAAAAGATGCATTCTGGTTGTTTTTTCTTCAGGAACTGTCATTCAGAGGAGCTCTACCTTTGACCATAGAGAAGAGATTCCATTCTGATGCAACATGGAGGCCATAAAAGATATGACACAATATGCTGCTAAATAAATTATAGCATGGTAGTGGTGGACTCATCAAAGGGATCCCATCTTTCAGGAGCAACCCAATCATTTCTATAAATATGTTCTGTAGCTCAGAATCCTAGTATTTGAGGGAAGTCATTGGAAAAATGTCAACAGTTTTGTTGTGTTTTCAGAAGGACAAAATCCTTCAGAGATTGACCTTACTGCATCGTCTGGTCATTTCCAGATTTCATCAGTACAACCTCCCATTGTACAACAAAACTTTTGAGCTAACATGAATTTCATATATTTATCAATATTTATTATATATTTTTCACTTGGGGCTTGCTTCCTAAAGATGCATGGTTGCTAAGATGCCAAGTAAGTAAAGCAATCTCTTGGCTGGCCAGCCATCATGGCATGCCAAAATTCTAAGCTCCTGTGTTGGGAAGAGCAAGAAATAAAACTGAGAGGATTAAAATCTAGCACCGGAAGAAAGACAATGGAGATGCTGAAGGGCATTAATGAAACCTTCACCTACAAGTCCATTTTTATCCCTTTCCCCCAAGCCTGGGGGGGAAGTTCAACAATATCTGATATAATGTGTTTTGGTTTTTATACATAATTCCACTTGCCCCTTCAAGATTCCTTGAGAACACACTACAAAGCAGAAAATTAACCTCAGGGCAAAACTAAACAGAACAGCAGCAGTCTCCCTGTGCTTAAACCTAGCCCTTCGGCATTCCAGGTTGAGATGTCCAATTTAAGGAAACCAGAGAGCTCAGTTCTGCCTTCTTCCATCGCTTACCTCCAATCAGACATCTCCCCAAGTACTTTTCTTTCAGCTAGGCCATTTGCTCTGATTCAGACCTTGAAAAGTTACTGCCGGTCAAAACAAACAGTACTGGGCTATATGGACTAAACTTGTACAAGGCAGCTTTTGATGCATTCTTAAATCAGAAAATAGATATAAACACATATCCTAGTAAAGCGATGGGGAATGTTGATATACTGAATCTCAGCCTTACCCAACATAGCCAAAGGTAAGGGATTATGGGAACTATAGTACAAGAACATCTGAAGGCTCATAAATTCTCCATTACTGTCCTAATAGTGATGTAGATCTCTGTTTAAATTAATGGATTTCCATAGTTACGTATAGCTTGGCCCTCAGTTCCTTTCAAACCAAGAGATGCCAGTTCCCAGGTTCTTGCTCTGTATACATGAATAGGTAACCCAGCATTGGCATTTTAAATTAATTTCCATCAACTGCTCCTAAATAGTATGTGGGGGCATTCACATGTGCTAAGAAACAACTGCTTGTGTACGATTGTGCTAGTGGTGTTCAATCAAATACTTAAAGGTGACTCTACATTCAAAATACATATTTTCAGGGGCAGCTTGCTACAACTCTTAATAATTTACTGCTTCCAATTAACCTCTACAGCATTTGGGCAATTCTTTCTGCCACGTTAGTGCATCCAGTGTGGTAGGGTCATTCAGCCATTCTCAATGTACACATGCAGTAGAATTACCCATTCTTAAAAGGCAATACTACCACATCTCTACATTCCAATGGCTCCTTTCCTATTATTTTTCCAACCTTGATAAACTATGGCTTATGAAGCTGGACGACAGCACTATGACCAAGCCTTCCTGCCTTGCCCTTCCCTTCATGTATCAGCTTTGATGAGTTCTTTCTTTCTTATTAAGCCAGAGTTCCCCATTATATAGGAACAGGGAAGCCTGTTTAATGACAATTAATATACTGGCTTATTATTCTGATTTGTTAACTGACATAACTGCTGTTTTGACCTAATGGGAACTCTGGCATATTGCAAGCCTGGAATGGCACATGGAAAGCTGATATATGAAGGGAAGAGACAAGAATAAAGGGGGATGGGAGTGGTAGACCCAGAGAATGAACACTGGGTCCCTAAGCTCATTCTCAGCTTCATAACTTGTGGCCCTTGAGTTGTTTCAGCGACAACTTCCATCATCCCTAGCTATATATGACATAGTTGAGTGAAAGATAGTCAGTAAAGAGTTCCTATGTCCCGTAGCAATTTTCAGGTTTCTAGAAACAAGTGTTCTATATGCTTTGAGAATCTAGACAGAGGACATTCATATGCTGCTCATAGTTTAAAATGAGTCATCCTAGTGCTCTCATTTATTCACACACATTAGAATGAATGGGAGCACTAGGATGACTCATTCATATTTGTACATCGGATCTGATACATGTAACAACTTACTGGTTTCCATATCAAAAAAGGATATTTCCATTCAACAATACTGATGCATGCCCTCCGGATGGGATTTTTCAGTGTTAAACACAGCAATGCCCGGGGAGGACGTGTAGCGGTGGTGGTACCCTGTTTTTTCTGTTTCCCATACTGCTGACGTTTCCTCTGTGTGGAGCTAGCAGTGGATATTGTTGCATTGCCAGCTGCACCCATCAATTTGGCTTGCCTGGCAGCATCAATAGCAGCCTGCCAGGAAAGGGCTGCACCTGGAGTAGGGATATGCTCAGGTGCCAGCCCTGCAGCTGCATTGGCATTCATGTTGGCATGAGCTGGACGGGGACTCACATAGTTGGAACCTAGGAAAAGGAACAAAAGAGATTATATATATATATATATATATTAGTCAGTAGCACAGAGTTTGCAAAAAAAACTAATAATCAACACAAAAGGTCATATCTTCATATGAAAAGCCAGTTCATGAGATTTAGTCACACTCTAGTGTGATTAAGGATCAAGAACCTAGGACTGGAACTATGAAGATAAATATACTTTCCAATATATAAAGGAGGACATGCTTAAAACATGTCAAAGATCACAGAACTGTTCTTCCTTCATTATGCTTTGCTAAAGGCTCTACGTTATTACTGCATGATGCATTTCTTTACTCTGTAAAAACCCATCCTCAATGTATTCAAAAGCCAACATGGTGTTGCACTTTTGGCTAAAGCTACACCAGAAAAGGAAAAAAGAAGAAGAAATGCTCTGTGTGTCAAGTGAGATAGTTTTGAACAGTTCCACAACATCTGGCAAGAGTTCCTGACCCTCCTTGGTGACTAGGGGAACAATTGGCCCACATAACTCTGTTTAGCACTGAAACACATAAAGTCTTGGAAGTAAATATCTCCCCCCCCCTTCCTATTTTTCTTCTTTTTCTCTTTCTTAGTTTGGTTCTTTATTTTGTATGTAGGATTTTACTGTCTGCTTTTGGACTGAGTAGGAGGGAACATGGGGATTGGGTAGAAAAGGAATATAGAGTGTGGAGGACAATCGAAGTGAGTGATAAGGAAAAAAGATGGTACATATCCTTAATCCAGTACAGAAGTGGTTGCATGAATGTGGCCAAGCACCTTGTCCATACTGACTGAAACTCATCCAATAAAACCTGACAAGGCTGATGTCCCTTTGGACAGAATATAAGCAGCTCTGAACCACTGTGAAAAGCTCTGCTGGGCAGCAGAGGGAAGAGTGAATTGAGGCAGTGAGATACTGCTTCTTTGCCACCTTGACTCAATTGTAGGCACATTCCAGGTGTCTGCTGCATTCACGGGGAGTTTTCCTCCATCTGCACTCAAGCCATCTCCTAAGTTGTTTCACTGTTCTCAGCTCTGGGGTGTATCATATGAGCTCTACAACAGAGAGAGTCCTTCAAAACAATCATGTCAACTGGCCAGGCCATTTCCACATTCCACAGCGTGACCAGGACTTCAACGGGAGAGCCAGCCGTATCAGCCAGAAAATCCCCTAAGCCCTGTAGAAACCATTTATATCCATTAGCCTCTGGGAATGGACCATCTTAGTATGTCCTCCACCTTTGCACAGGGGAAAATGCCACAGTTCTACACTAACAAAATGTTAACAAAGTTCCCCCCATTGCAAAGACAAGAACAACACAGAGGTAGTGATTAATGTAAAAGGGGGAGAGAGGGAGAGGAGATACTAATCCCAGTAGAGCTGGAAATACAATAAAAGTCTATAGTTAAACTGGCTTTGAACATAGCTTGCTCTTGCTCTCTCTCTAAGAACAAGCTGTAGGTTTTTTCCCATCACACTGATGATCCTGAATGCAACCTTTTAAAATTTGGATATAATTGAAGGCAACATTTACCTATAAGGAAAAGTAAAGCACTACATCTAGGACAATGTTGAGACTAAAATTTAGCTATAATTCCCGACATTGGCTGTACTTTACTCTGGAATTGCATTTCTCCACTTAGGGCCTTGCATGGGCCTTCTACACATTCCCTGGCCAACATAATAATCAGCAGTTTTGCAGTACATTTAATAAAGTCTTATGCTTCAGCTCAGCCTTTCATCTGACTACTATTACTGTGTTATCAAGTAAGGAAATCACAAGCTTTAGGAACCCCCCTGAGAGCTTCTGCTGTTGGGCAGTACAGACAAGAAATAAGTAAATCACCCATTTTGTGCAATCTTCAATCATTATAGTCTCTGGCCACTTAACACAGCAAGGTACATTGTTTCTACTTGATCACTGGCAAATCACAAGGGTGAATATGACTATGGGTTCACCAATAATGAAATATGTTTTAAGAATTGCTGAACCGGAGAAACAGCAGAGAAATTATTGCAAAGAAAAACCATGAAGACAGGAAGCTAATTAGTATTTCCCTCAATTTAAACCAATGATATCTGCACCACAACTACTTATTCATAGCCAATAGTTTACCAAGAAAGGAAAGACATTTAAACAAAAAAAAACAAAAAATGCTTTGGCAAGATTCCCTTTTTTCTCAGTCTTTTCCCCCTATGGCATATCTGTATTCATCAGTTATTTGAAATACTAGTGATGCTACAGTAACTATGCAAATACAATAGAAAGTCCTGAGGAGCTTGGGCATACACCTACAACGAGTTACAGCTAAGCAGGTGGGTATAGACTTGCTGTTTCTCATTTCTGGATGCCCACATGCTTTGCCCTTTTCTTCCAAGCCTGTTAGTTAAACCTTTGGTCTTTTGTTATTAGGCCATTTTATACTAGATTTACAACAAATGTTTAAACATTCAGACTTGGATATCCTTAGTGTCCACCTTAGTATCTACTAAGTATGTTGCCATCTGAAACCTCTATTCAAAATCAAAAGCCTTTTAATTCCATAGCTAATCACTTTCGAGCCAAGGGCATAGTATAAACAGCACATTCACAAAATACCATTTACTATGTCCTATAATGATATCCAACTAAAGAACAAGAGGCCATTACAAAAGCCCGTACGTGTTTGCAGTAGAGTTATTAGTCAAAGAAAGAATCTATATCAGAGGAAGGTAACCTAAACTGCAGTACAGTCAATGGTCAGGAATGTTGGCAGTTGTAATGGAAAACACTTGGAGGGTGCCTGGTTGTACACTCCTGATCTATATCATTATTCTGTATCATCAAGGCTGAAGGACATAGTGAATATTTGAGTGAAGGCTTTTAGTGCATAGTTAGGCCAGTAAAGAGGTATTTTCCTCTGCATTTATTTAAAGCTACCATCACTACTTTGATGCAATGGTAGAAAGTGTAGGAAAGGGTGGACCTCTAATCTTTTGGCTTACAACTCTATCAGCCCAAGCCAGCATAACCAATGATGAGGAATCATCGGAGTTGTAGGCCAGAACATATGTATGGCCACAAGTTGTTCACCCCTAGTGTAGATTCATAATAGGAGGAATAAAATTACTTATGGATGGTGATATAGGGTGCATTCATGTGCTCAAATGGTATTATTCTGGACTAAGTTGCTGACCTAAATGTGATAATGTTATATGGTTATGTCACACAAACTATATAGAAAAAATAAACAAGTGCTAGAAATCTAGGTGTTTTTCATGGGTTGCTGCTATACTTCTAAATCTTTTGACTGATTATTTGAGGGGGCTAGTAAAAAAAAAAGATGTTGAACTAGTAGTAACCATATACAAACAAGAAAAAAAATAGAGATCATACCAATATGGGAAATGCCAAATTTTCAAACAAAAATGGGAAAAGTCAGAATATTCTACAGCTAATAAAATTAATGAAACTGATGATTAGAAATAGGAGGAAGTATACCTTCATAACTATAGATAAATAAGAGCCATTTATATTTTTTAGAACCAATATAGTATTCCCTAATGAATAACCCATGATTTTTCTGGCAGGCTCTTTGTTAGGTAAGCAGTGATATAAATACCCTTTATACAACCAAGGAGTGGCCATCTAAAATGGCTTACTTGTGCATCACAAACACACACGTCTCGGAAAGCAGCAGTGGCAAAAGAAAAGTCTCCTCCCTAAAATCTTATGATTTGCACAAACTTGTAGCCTGGTCCCAAGGCATATAGGGCTGTATAGGTCATAACCAGCACTTAGGATGCCAAAAGAACACACCATTAGTGAGTGAAGCTGCTAGAAAGAGTTAACTGTTGTGCACAGCATTCTGCATCATCTGAAGCTTCTAAATGCCTTTCAAGACATCCATACATAGAGCTATTACAATAATACAACTAACATTAAGACATTTGTGACCTTAGCCAAAACAGACATGTCTAGAAATAAGTCCAGTTGGAACACTAGCCTCAGCTGTACATTCCTGGCCACCATGAAGACCTGGACATCCAGATTCTGAGCCAAATCCAAGAGTATATTCAAAGTACAAACCTGAGACCTCATGAAGAGTGTAACCCCATTCAGCACAGGCTAAATACATATTCCCTTTTGACAGACCAAAAGCACTTACATTTTGCTTACATGAAAGTTCCAGTTATTTGTCCCTCTTCAGTCCATTACCTACATCAGGCACTAATTTAGAACCAGAATACCTTCTATGGATTTTGATGGAAAAACGAGATAGGGCTTAGTGTCACTGGCATACTGGTAACCCTGAACCTCAGTTCTCCTAGTGGTTTCACATATATCATATAGAATAGTAGAGTAGGAAGGGGCCACTGGGTCAGTGCAGGACTCCAGGTTAAACCATCCCTCTCAGATGGCTGTCCAGTTGCATCTTGAATGCCTACTGTGGGAGCGCACACAACCTTCCCAGGTCACTGCTTTCATTGACCTAATGCTCTAACAGTCAATTTCTAGATTTCCAAGAAGTATATCCACATGTTCATATGTGTAACAGGATCAAGTGAAGCAAAAATGTTTCTAGTACTGGTCCTCCTATAGTTAGGATTTTTAATCAGTAAAGGCCACATAGATTTCAGTCACACACCTACACAAGACTAGAGAAGAGGAAGCACATTCTAGAGATCATACAGGATGACCTTGACTGTGTTAGCAAACACTTTCCACAGCAGGAATAGACCATGTACTTGAAAAGCACAATTTATAAATTACCAGTCCTACCTAAAGTTATATCAATCAGCCACTAGCTGAGAAAACAGCTCACCAACTACTCCACTTTAGATTTTTTTCCATCACGTATCCTGAAAATGCTATTATATGCCTTTTTCCTTTATCTGTGAGCTTGCTTTGTGGCCCTTGTTGGGATATTTTGATAATAATTATATTAGGAAGCTAGATTGCCTGTAGCTGTGTAGATATGAACCAGCTATAATTATTTGGTCATAGCACATGAGAAATTTATTC